CATTCAGGTTTCTAGTAATCAGAGTACATGCAGGCTACAGGGAGGACAAGCTACAGTTCTGCCAACAGCCAGGGACCATACTTTGGCAGGCATCATTACAAATACTTTCTGCAGCATCAGCATCAAGTAAAAAATAAAACTGCTTTTTTATTATAGTGAAACATTTTCACTAAGCAAATACTTAAAATAGAGCACAGTTCTGATCAATATTGACCAAGTACCCTATTCACACCACATTAAAATTGAGAAAAAAACATCTGAAAAATGAGGTTAAATATCCTCCAACCCAACTGTGGTCTCAATTGCCACCCTATGCAAGAATGCAGAAGTGCAATGGCTGGATTGTTAAATACTGCAGAAGTCGGCATATTTTTCGTGAGAAAAATAAAAAATTGCCACCTTCTGTTTATGGTAAGTACAGCAGAGAAGAGAAGCACAGGAGAAACTAATACAGAGACACCAGCGTAGTTTGCTCTTTAAAAGTAATGTGAATAGAACAATTTCTAGAAGGAAAGCAATGGTCACTGAAGAAATTACTTTAAAATCAGTGCTGAAAAGGGAACAGACGTGATAAATGCAATTATTCTATCTGGTTAGGGTGAATTGAATGATTGAAGTAGAATAAGTCATTGCACATTCGCTGCAACAGATTTAAGAGGAATGAAAGTATGTAACAGAAGGTCATTAAATCACAACATTCTGACACGCACATAAGACGTACACAATTGCCACTTTTCTTTGGTTCTTTTTGAGACTGATAAGGAGTGTCAAACATTTTATGCTTCTTAGCCACTTGCCAGAATTTACAGTCCTTCTATATTTAGCACTGAAAGTTCATTCCAACAGAGTGACTCCTCACTCTCACTTTTACAGGCTCTGTTTGTCCTATCCATAACTACAGCACAGACAACTCTATTACTGTGTACAGCCAGTGCAGTGAGCTAAACATTGGCAACCACGTAATAATTTCAGGAAGGATTTGAAAACATGCACTTATCAGAAAACAGAAACATCCCCCCCAAATTTTAGCACCCGTTTGATTTAATATAAATACAATATATACACTTGGCAGACTTGTGTTAACACAGCATTTGTTTCAGCTCATAGTGAACTACGTAGCTAGTGTTATCCAACTCTCTCCATCAACCAAACCATGATTTGATGGTAAAGCACCTACATGCTGGGTACTCATACAACCTTTGTTTACGTATCAAACTTCAATTACAGTTCCACGTGAATTTTTGACAGCATGCTGCAGAAATCTACTCAGCTGTTCAAATAAACCCAAGATTTCCACATTCTCAAGCACCACTGGAACACCTGGCTCTTGCCATAATCCTGTGCTCTGAATTGCATTAAGACACTTGCTGGAAGGAAACAATACAAAAAGTCTTTGTAGGCTGTACCTCACTAAGGAGGCAGGAGGATGAGTATTCACATCATATGACAAAATATGAGGAGAAAAAAAAAGGTACAAGTACTGTTACGAGGGCCTTCACTCCCAATCCATTGTAACTTCCACCAATCCATAGTAACTGCTGCCATACAAGTTTACACTGTATTTAGGCACCATCACCTATAATATCCAAAGATTCAATTTTCTTTTTACACAGACAATGACGACAAGAGACAAAGCCAGATTCTTCTAAGTGGCAGGAAAGAGGCAATGGGCACAAATTGAAACACAGGATATTCTATGCAGAAGAAGAAAAAGAACTCCCTTTTGTTTATTATAAGGGTGCTCAAACACCAGAACAGGTTGCCAAGAGAGGTTGTGGAGTCTCAGTCCTGGAAAATGCACGAAACCCAGTTAGACACAGTCCTGGGAAACTTGCTCCAGTTCACCCTTCTTTGAGCATGGGGTTTGGACCAGATTATCTTCAGCGGTCCTTTCTTTCTACACCCAAACATTCTATGATTCTATTATATTAGACCTTGCAAGTCACACTGCACCTAACAACAACTTTTTCTCTATTTTGATGGCCCCAAACAGTTCTGACAAAAACAAAATACCCAGATAGAACTCACAATAGGAAAATTGCTACATCTGAAATTTCTGATTAATACTGCAAATTCTTTTGCTGCTTTGGAGTAGCGCTTAAGTTATATCAAGTGTAACTGCATTTACTGCAATGTCCAAAATGGACATGAAAAACTTTCTTCTTCTTAGACTGCATACATTTACTATAAATTACTCTGACGTGAACAGCAGACATTTTCTCTCTGAATACACAACTACTTAATTTCACAACTCTGAACTGGTGAGATACTGTTCTTCCTTTTTAAAATAATAATTTAGTGTTGGCACTATTAATTGAGGAAAAGATTCAAAATTTTATACAGGAAGAGTATTTCTGAACAACATCCAAATTAATTATATTTTGTACAGTTTTATAGAAAGTACTTTAGAGATCATAGCATGATATATTCCTGTCATTTTGTTTTCAGACCAGAACTGATAATCTCACGATCCCTCATGCTGTTAAGGGAAACTAAACCACTGTTTCAATAAGTTGTTAGTAACTGAAATCCCTGAATTCTTCTGGCATTCTTTTGGGGATTCAGAACTCTAATTTAAATGAGACAAGCTCAGCTGGATTGCCATGAATCAGACTGGGTCTGTATCCTCTCTTGGCATATAGCATGTACTTATACTTTACTTTAGTAGGAAGTTGTGATGGTGGAAAATGAAGAAGAGAACATGTATCTTTGATTGAGACCAACAGCTAATTACTGAGACAAACAAGGTCACATTTCAGAAAAATACAAGGCCATATTTGGATGCCCATTATTGCAAGTAATATACTTGTAGACATTTACAAGGACTTTCAAGTTGAAAACAATAAAACATCTTGAAAGTGCCTTCCTTCAACAAATTCATGGCTACTAGACTTGGTTTTAATTCCCCAGTGGAAAGGCATGATTGTAATACTGCAGACCAGGAAAGGATGGTTAATTCCACTGTCATGTTTCTGAAGGGAAAAATGTAGTTGAAATTATGAAAGAAGAATGTTATTTTAATGCTTAATGTTAAAATTTTTAAGTTCTTCTCTCTGCAAAAACTTTTTCTTGATAGCTGATGGGTGTAAACAAAGCTTGCAAGACATGCATAAAACTCATTGTTTTCCTACATTAATTTTCCTAACTACATAGTTGCATAACGAATCCATCTGCTTATGGATGATATATTAATACATTGCTTACCAGCACACCATAGACTTCCTAAAAACAAGTAATAAAACCAGTGACAAAATTGCTTTAAAAATACCTGATATTTGAAAAAAATTTATTATTTGGGATAACTTTCTCCATGTTCTTTAAAGTCAAGTTCCTAATTTATCCTGTCTGAAAGGCACCATAGTGACATAGTGAGTGGTGAACAGTAAACATCTCATTGACATTTTTCATACCTGGGGAATTTATCTGTCTCTGAGAGAATCCAAATGAAATGTGAACAACAAGATGTACAAATAGGAGCTAATTTGTAACTGCATAGGCATGAAACCTCTAATTTCCATGCTATCGTGGCATCTTAGGCACATTCCTGTCAGAAGTTTCTTCAATAAAATTAGCTTTTTTATGGGAAGGTTCAGCAAGATCTTCTCCATGGTCTCTGTTATTCAATCGCTCCTGGTCTTCCCTCTTGCGTTTGTTAATCAGGTGATTTTCTCCCTCACACAGCTTTCCCTCTGGGACACCCAATGTTCTCAGACAGACAATAGCTGCAGCCTGTTCTGCTAGTTTCTTGGACTTGTCCCTGAAGAGCAAGCAGACAGAGCACAGGTAAAAGCAGAAAATGAAGTCTCTACACTGCCAAGAGAATTTCCTGTCTCTGATGCAACATCATAAACAAAACAGCACTCGTAGTCATCTCATAGCAGAAGAACAAAATAGGTCAGTTCCAGAAATTATTTGAATCTTGCTAGGTGTCAAGTGTTGATGCATCACTCCTGATGTAATATTCCTTGAAAATCTGTTTCTATCAGGTCTTGTGTCTCAAACACTCTTCATTTCAAAGGTACTAAGTCAACATGTGTTTGGCCCAAGTGGTTGCACTCCTCAGAAAGTTAACTTTTACAAATCTGATCACTAAACAAAACTAACTGAGTTACGAAGGATCACTTTTCTTGAAAGAGACTCATACTTCAATATACGTTGGCAGGTGAACAAGCTTATTGATGCTGACAAAAGTAGGAACTGTCCCATAATAATAATAAAAATTCTATCATTTCTGGGAGGTACTGTAGATCACCCATTTGTGAGATTCAGTATTGGAAAACATTTTCTTCTCAAAGTTTCATATCAGCTTAGCTTAACTTCCCAAAGTCTCTGAACAGAAAGACTGCAAGGTAGCAATTGTTGTGTGCATTTGTCCTCTAAAATGTTCAATGCTGAGCTCTAACTCTGCAGTTAAATCAAGATCAACTTAGGTGTAAATACCTCAAGTCAACTCCAGTATTAATGGATGATTGTACAAAATAGCGTCATGAAACTTTAGAGCAGCCCTGGATGTAACTGCTAATTAACCGTGATCCCCGAGAAGCCACTCCTCTCTTTCACTAGGTGTAGACACTTAATCCTGACTTCTTTTTGGGAATGGATCTGCTGTGGTGGCTGAAGACACTCCCTCCCCCAACATTCCCCTCTGTATCCTTTGGTTAATTTCTGAACTCAACACATACAGAACTAAACTGTGTCACCTATTTGCACCCCTTCCAATAGAACTTGTGGACTAACACACGAAATTAATTAAAATCGGTAATAATTTACTTGATTATGCTAATGCTTACTTCCTCTTGTCACATTCAATTCTCAGAAATTTTTAAACCTTTCTCCCTCCTAGGGGTAGCTTTAGAACATAGTTTTTAGTTGACCTATATCAAAGTCCACTGGAATAGACCAGAGTGCCCTTTTATTGCAAGTTTTTTAATATTACAAGTATTTTAAGCAACATTTCAGAAACAAAAATCCAGCTGGAAAAACCATTAAGGACAGCTTACCACAGAGTTGATTGGTATTTTCGCTCAGCTACTGTCACTACTGAACAGAATAATCTATCCAATGGTCTTTGAACCTGTGGGGAAAAAAAAAATTAAAAGGGAGGGGGGTATCAAAAAGCAGTCATGTCATTTACAGAAGAAACAACATCATCAAGATTCTTTGATAAGTGTAGAGGCAAGAACAAATAATATCTTTAAAATTACTCTAATTCACACCACAAATTTAACCTTACATATTTAACAGTAAAATATAAGAAACTGTCCAAACTGCAAATATTTTGCTTTGCCAAAAAAAAAAAAAAAATCAAATAATGTCCCCATCTAACAAAAAAGTTGCTCCTGTCCTACCCATAACTGTGTACAACAACAGAGAAAACATTCTGAGTCTAAATTCTTTACTTTGCAGTAGTAGTAAAAGAAAGTCAGTCATGGGCTCCTATATAATGACCTGTAGTACAGCAACTCCTTTCACACATGAATCAAAACCAGATGGAAGGTTTGACTTTTAATTTTTTATTTTCTAATAAAATAAGATACTATTTTCATGCCTATGAGTGTTACCATTTCTGAAGCTGCTTCCGCAAAGAGCTATGCCAGACTGGGAAGCAGAATTTCCTCGCTAACTTGAGTCCTAAAATACCTAATTTTATAGACAAGGCAGAGGAAGAGTTTTTAAAGGGTTTCTTCATTGACTCACAGTTTCATAAACAGGCTGAGGATGCTTTTCTTTCCTACACCATTCCAGAAGATACATTTTTGGAGTAATCTGTGGTGGATACTCTCGCCTAGACAGAAAAATTTGTGGTCAACAACTGTGCACAAAGTTCTATTTTAAAGCAGACAGTGCTGTTTATTATATTACTTCTACCAGTTATTTGAGGTTTAACTTTACAACTCAAATTATGAGAAAAATGCTGCTTCCGAATTAGACAACTCAGGTAACAGAAAGCCTGGAACTAAAGAACATCTTGTAACAGCCAAATAGCACAGGAAGAGTGGTGACTATGTAATGATGTACACATATTGCCCCATAAAAATTCACTCAGTAAGTGCTGTTTTGCAAATAATTATTTTCAAAAACTGTCAGGCACTGTCAAACTCACAGTTGCTACTCACAGATGCAAGACAGTGAAAAACTTAATTTGTGTGCTTACTTGTCAAATCTAACAGCCATTTTTATTACATCCGGATCATCCATTTGGTCATCTTCATCTTGTGTCTCAGTTTCTAAAGACATTTTCTTTGCTTCAAAAATAGCTGTTGTTTCTTCATAGAAGTCACCCATTTCAAAGACTTCACTATTCAAACAGAATTCCTTTGTATTAGAGATCAGTTTATGAATTTTTGTATCACATTATGGTAGAGAACACCAAATATAGAAATCAATTGCAATTATAGAGAGTATATGTGTATGGAGAATCAAATGAAAGCGTGACTGTATTCTGCACAGTGACATTATATAGCTTCTCTTTCAATTCTTATCAGACAATGTTGTGATACAAGCAGAAAAAGAATGTTCTAATTTCCATCACTACATATGCAATTTGCAGCCTGAAGGTCAAGGCAGAATCAATCGGAAATGCAGGTCTTGCAGTGTTCAAGTTATTAGCTCAATCAATAACTTGCAGGTGGATGAATTGGCAAAAAACATCTCCGTGTGACTCCTGGTGCATCAGCTCCACAAGGGCAATATGAGCAAAAAGTAGGAAAGAGATTCTTCTTCTAATTATAGTATTTTAAAATACCATAAGCAATAAACACTATAACATCCAAACCCCTCAAAATCTCAGATTTTCTGGCATCAGAATAATATTCACAAGTGTAAACGTAAGGGAGGAAGCCATCAGGATTTGGGTCAAAGGCACGATTCTTAAGTCCTTTTAAATTTTGAATCCATGGCAAGCTGGATCTACTTTGTAAAACTGAGACTATTAATTTTCTGCAGATAGTAACAGGAATAAAACCTGTAGTACAAGAAAACTGTTCAAAGGGCTGTTCAATGGCAAAATGAATTCTGGCCACAAAGCCATCTCCAATGCTCCAAGTGGAAAAGCAAAGAAGCTGAATGAACAATGTTAACTTTCACTTCTAAGGGAAGGCAATTTATTATGTACTGGTATGTAAATGTTTAGTCCAAAATGCAGCCCCTGTTCTCTTGCATTCAGTACTGAGGTTAAACCTCGCATGGCTGTAACATGCCCTCACCACCAGGGGAGAGTACCATTTTTGTCTGAAGATGCACAGGTGCATTTTAAGTAACAGAATGTTCTTCAGCTATCTGGACATGAAATAAGCTATTCAGAACAGGGTTTAAAGGACTGAGTCTGCTGACAAAAAGCAGTGTGTCTCTCTCTCCCCCTCTCATACACACTGCTTAAGCCAGTTTTGAAGTTGATATTGCCTTACATGCACAAAAACTGACAAAGTTCAATTTTGGAAGTTCCTAAAGAATTGTTACGCACAGCACATAAACCCAAAAGTTTTACACTACATCTCTATCCAGCGTTTATGTGTATAAACTGTGACACCTCTAATTACCTGTTTAAAGGCTTGACTCTCACTTTACAATTTCTTTTCTTTACATACTATGAACTACTGTTAATGCACCACCCTTTTGGCTAGGAATTATATGAAGTTGTAAAAGATTGTTTCAGTTTCAATCTATATTATGTGTCTTTTTTCCAAATTACAAATCTATACTCAAAATAGATAATGTCTTACCATACTAAAAAGTTTTCAACTCTCCACATTGCCAAAGTGAAAAGTAACTTGCAAAGTTTAAATGTTGTTCCTGGATTCCACTGCTCCTTTATGACTAATGAATGATAGCTCTTTTTATATACGAAATACAAATTCCCTTTATTACATTAAAATGTAATAATCATGGACAGAAGTATTTATAGGAAGCCAAAATTAGTAAAAGGCAATAAACCGGCTAAAGGATTGCAGGCATTTCTATTAATTTTGAAGATGAAGAGAATGCTGATTATGGTTTACAAGAAAACAATAAATTACATTATTACAAATATTTACAAAATATTTCAAGCTTTCAACATTTCTATCCATTTTCATACACGTAAGGTATCAAACAGTTTCAGAGTGTTTATAATATAAAGAGCCTCTTCCCCTCCATTCCATCAGAAGGATAATTATATCACACTACATGGATACGACACATGCAAGCTCAGACCTTTATTTTGTTCAGTTTGGGATGGCTCCAAACCTTAATTCCCCTAATTCTGTGTGAATTCTTTAATTGCATGCGTATTTTATGGTTTCTCACAAAGTTTTCCTTCTTCCCTTTCTGTCCCCCTGCTTTGAGAAATTTCAGCCAGACTGTTTCAGATATCTAGGATGACAAGACTCATTAAAGTTACTATATTTCCTCAAAAAAGCTGTCGTTATTCATTAATATATTCCAGGTATGAAAACCAGCACAAAAGAAATACACTGAAGTATCATATGGACAACCTTCATATATTATTTTGAGTTTATCTCTAAGAGTTAATTTAAAATAAACATGTGGCTGTAAATATTCCAGTAACATTAAAACCTCCACATGCAAGAGGGAAAATTAAAACAAATAAATATCCTTGGAAGGAGAAAAGCTCCACACTATTAACCTCCAGACTGACACTGGAGAATGCTGAAACTTTTCTTGATCAGTTAATGCAAATATTGAATTTGTCTGTCACTCAATGAAGCACCAATCAAATTAGTATTTTAGTTGAAATTAGTTTAATATTTTAGGGTAAAGATTTAACATCTGAGCATGAAGGACACCTAGAAAATTTACTGTGTTATTTCCCATCTCACTAACTGCAGATTTTTGTTTGTCCATTTTTGGGGGTTTTGCAACTTCTTCTGAAGATATGAAATGCCAGGGAGTGCTACAGACAGAGAAGTGATGTGCAAGTTTAAGAGTGAGTACAATTCCTGTGTCTGAAGTACAAGCTTACCAGATCTCCTGGGTGGACTGTGCAGCATGTAGCTTCTTACCCTGAGCAGTTTCCAACTGTTCTCTTAACATCTGACACAAACAGTATTTTGTGTTGGTGTAGTGATTATCATATCTCACTGCCTGAAGGAGAGAGACAAAGTATTTAAAAACACACCGAACAAATTTATCTTCTATTTTGCTCATGTCTCTTGATAACTTTCAAAATCATTTTTGAAAGGCAAACCACAAGGCAATCTCCTCGATAACATATTCAACACTACTATGAATGTGACTATAATCTGATTATTTTGGCATGACTTCAGGAACAAAAATTCAACTTATTCATATACTCACGAAGACAGAGTTGACAAGCTGACATCACCAACAAGCAATGCACCGTTATTGTAGTTAAGTAACTGGTTAATGGCAAGTTCAAATTTTTAAAAACTAAATAATTTTGAATTGGTGACATGATCAAAGCTACAGATTTCTGATTAATTTCTTATTACATCCTTTAAAATAATGTCTTTTGAATAACAGATAAAACTTTATATATCAGGTGACTCAGCTAAGGGAGCTACAGTACTACAATACAGCATTACTTTATTGGCAAATCATTCCCTTTGCTTCTTTGCTGTGAATAATTATTGACAATATTTGTGAAAAGTAATTAATTTCTAAAAATGAATCTAGCAGAAACTATTTCATATTCCTTCACTTTTCTGTTCAGTACTGTATGCTATATATAATAATCTGTTCAATTTGTACATCTGTAACTTCAAAAGAGTTGGTCTACATATTTTTAAAAAATTCTAGACATTTTTAGATAGCCTTGTAAATGTCATTAATGTTCCCAAGAAACTAGGGCTAAAAAGCAAGAAAAGAATGATCAGGAAAAACTGAATACAGATTTCTGAACTTTTGTTTTCTGAACAAAGTGAAACAGAGGAAGCAGTGGTTGATTTGCAAGACTCATGTCATATGCACTAAGTTAAAATATCCCCAAACTAAGTCTTTGAAATGACAAGGAGTTAATGACACTCTAGGAAGATCTGGATTAACAATTCTAAACAATGTTAACAACAAGTAAGATCTTAAAAAAACCCCTACATATTTAAGGTAATCTTGCATGACATCCTTCAAGGGGAAAAACCCCTCTTTTCTGAAGATAGATGGGTTCCACATGGCAGCACGAGCTATCATCACTGATGAGGCAGCTGTTGCTTTCCGGAAGGTCTCTATGTCCATATATTCTTTGATGAAGTCATGAGATCCTCCACTAAAAAATAAAAACACTGTTTTAATTAATCATGGATCTTTTTTCCTGCACTTGCAAATCTTAAGTTAGGTACAGGCATCTGGCCATAACAAGCTAATTTGTCCAACTTACTTTGCTATGACTGGAATGGAGACAGCTTCAGATATGGCCTTGATCACATCACAGTGGACAGGGTGCTGAGGCCTTTCCTCCTTCTTCCTGTCCAACAAACAAAAGAAAGACAAGACCAAAGATTTCCTGTGGAATTTGCAAATCTCTAAATCACAGCAGATATGACACGAGGAGTACTGGGATATACTTGTTTCCACTTATTTATCTCATATATTTGATATAATTTCCTGCTGTTTCTTTAAATGCAAAATAATTATTTCCTATCAATCAAAAACATTTTAAGACATTGTTACTGTAATTCCATATCCAGATAAGCAGTATTTTTTAGATATAGAGTGTGCAGATAATTTTTGTTTTATTTGCTCTTTGAGACAAAAATTTTCAGAAAACAGCAGCAAAGCAGTACAATTCCCTAATTGGTGGCCTGACTTTCTACAACATCAATTCAGTTAACGGCTGAAATCAGAACCATATGCTACATCTAGCATGTAGAGGATACTCTAGTCATATCATACTCTGTTCATTACCAAACTAAAAAAAATCTAACTATTTCTTGCCTAAAATCAATTTACCTTCCATGGACTGCAATGGCAGCAATACCAGTTTTTTCTATTCTCTTCACCAGATTCACAGTATCTTCAACCTGAGGTATAAGACAGAATGACAAGATTTTAATTCAGAGCAGAAGGAACAACTATCATGCAGTCATTGTACAGACAAATGCTGGAAGTCTTTTCTTTCCTAAAGAGGGATGTGATTCCTGTATTTCATCAGTAACACCCAACACACATAACCATTTAATATATACTTCAATTAAAGAACTACATACTATGCCAAAAATAAGAATCCATTTTCAGTGCCTCCTTGAAACCACAGATTGCAAACTTTCTCATATCAGCAGGTTTACAGACTGTCATTTGAAAATTATATAGAACATTTGATTATCAAGTTCTCTCTAATGACTACTCAGTAAATTGCAATTAAAATGCTTTTCAGTATGAGGATACCTTCTGAAATCAACATAACATGCAATCACACATCTATAAACATGTAGGAAATTAAACTGAAAAAAAAAAAAAAAATCCAGTAAGGAAACTACATGACCTGTAAAAAAACTCTGGAAAAGGGGGGAAACATCCTGTACAAGAAAGAATCTGTAACTCCATTGGTTGTTCTAACTGCAAGAAAAGCAAAACGGTTTAGAAAAAAAAAATTAATCTGAAAAATCAGAAAAGAATCATCTCTTGCCTGCCCTGGGTGAAAAACAGGAATTAACAGCATCTACTGGCTGCTCAAGGGGTGATGTTCTACACCCTCTTGTACAATTTAAAAATTACTTAGTTGAAAAATTTTGAAGATAAAAGCCTCTGTGTCCTTGCATATCATGGAATCTGACAAGCTCACAATCACGGTCTCCATACATCTGCGGGTCAGATAATCCTTTAGGCTGGGAGAGCATTCCAAACAGAAATTATAATTCCAAGCGCTGTTTCACAACAGCAGGCCTAAGATGACAACATATGAGAACGCACATATTATAACTGATACAAAATCACCAAAATAAACAACAACTAAACACTTCAGCATAATGATTTATGTTCTTACTGAGGGCAAAATGCGGATTTTGCAGGTTACTGGTTTACAAACTCCTTTAACAAGGGTAGTCAATATCTGGAAAAAGGAAGAAAAAGACAAAAATGTGATCACAGCAGTGACATTACTAAAGCTCTCTTGAAGACAAAAGAAATTAGAACAATGTAACGCTACTTAGTATTCTTCTATAAAAAAACCTCACATGCTAGACAGACACATTCAATCTGTAATTGAAAATATCATTTTATCCAATAGATATAAAACCAATTTCTAGCCTAAGCCATTTCTATTTCCACTTCATCTTTTTTTTCAACTTTTTTCAATTTACAGAGCAATTAACTGCTGCTGGAGTTTCAACGCTGCTTTTAGTATGAGGTGACCTGTGAAATCCAATAATTTCAAAATAGAGTGCAAAGGTTTTTCATTTTCATGCAACTGTTTTCACCATCACCTTATATTCCAGTTTACAGTTTCTCATAAAAACTAAATTATTATTCTCATAATAACTAAATTGTTATTTAAAAATAAGAAAGCCTTCAAAATGGAAAAAAAATCTAGGGAATATCAAGCAACACCATTGAGTCTTCTTAAGGAAAGCAAACTGAATTCCATGCTTAACACAAAGCACATTTTATTCATTACAACAAACTTGGAACAATCAGACAAAGGAGTGGTTGTTAGTCTAATCATTTAAGAACTGAGCTATGGAAAGAATCTCCTTTTCACACCTTGAATCTAAGTCCAACAGACCTCACTTAAAAGTGCCATGTAATGGCCTATACATGTTTAAATCACTGTATGACTATACAGTAACTGGTATCAGAAATCCAACAGGTCTCTAAATAAAGGAGTGGAAGCCAGCTGATCCTGACTGTTATTAGAAAGAAAAAGTTCTTTTCAAACTGTTTTTCTCAGATATTATCATGCATGTTATTCTTATATAAAATGGATGGAACTGCAGACAAATGCTTTCAGGGTGGGGTATCCTATGAACTTGAATTTTGTTTAATATTATTACACTTATTAGGTTCCCAATACAGATATGAGCTGCTATAGCTGCACTCAAGTTCTTGCACTTAAAACAGCTGGCAATTTCTGTCACCTTGCACTGTCTATTCAAACCTTTCCCCAGTAGTGTTCTCTCAAAATAAACAGCAGCATTCAAGAAAATGACCTAAAAAAACCCTTAGTATTTTCAAGTTGTACTCTTTAGCATATAAATCAAACTAAAATGACATAATTTTCAAACATTGTCACTATGTTTTTCTTACAGTAGCATCATAAGCAAATCTTAGAAGTTTTCAGTGTCAGCCTCATTAAAGATTCCAATGTGAGAACCAAATCACTTTTAATCACATGGTAGGCTTGATTTAGAGCTGTAGTTTCAGTTGTCTTTTGCAGGCTATGAGTTTAGTTATCCCTCTGCAGTTTGCTAAGAGTAATTTTAATGCCTAAGATTTTGCTGCCTATTAACATCTTCAATTGAAAAGAACAATTCCAAACTTTTGGGCATCAAGTTTCCCACTTTCCTGAAGATCAGAACAAAATGTAATGGTTGTAGAGGGGAAGGGAAGCTGTTAGCAATCATATTTACAACTGCCTCTCATTCCTGTGAAAAATATTTTTGCAATATTTAGTTCTAGCTTGCTCAATAGTTTCCTCCCAGTTCCCACTCCGAAATTTTTTTTCTTTCAGCTTTCATCACCTTATGCTTCACAAATTACCTTTTTATTCTGGATGGTATCACCCACGTTATTTAATTCATGGAAAACCATATAGGCCTCAAAAAAATTGGCTCAGAAAAATTTGTCTTCTAAGCAACTCAATCACTCTTCCAGTAGAGCACAGTGCACAATACTTTCCAAGGCAGTTCAAAAGCCACAAGGTGATACTCACAGACTCTATTTTGTCAGGATCAGATAGCAGTGCTGCTCCCATACCTCCCTGGGAAAATATACAGAAAGTGTTATGCACTAGGCAAATACATTTTTCAACCCAATTATTTTCCCTAGTAGCAGACCAGCACAAAAGTGTAATGTTATATTAAGGAGTGGGGGGAGAAATAAAAGAAGGAAAAAGCGGCAAAATCTAAAATACAGGAGCATTTGTGAAAACTTTGGGGCAACATTTGCTAGAACCATTTCAGAATAAATAAGCAGTAATTCAGGGCACCAATTTGCTCTCATTACTTTATGGAGCAGACAGGATTTCAAAAAGCTATTTTTAGCAACTGTAATCATCCAGTTTCTCCTCCCTCATTAAGTGACACCTGTACAGATTTACTGGTATGTATTCCATACCTCCAAGAAAGAAAAAGCTTATTTGAGAGTAATCAAAATCCACTTGCCTTAGTAGAGTATTCTTTTGGACATCCCATGTTGATATCAATACCAGCCACATCACTCTCTCTGAAAGAGAAAAAGGAAACAAATATTTTTCAGCATATTAGAACAAGAATCAGGAAACAGGTATCTTTCCAGGTAACTTGTTCCATCATTATTAAGGTTTAAATGAGAACTTAAGGTAGTTCTTATTTGAATTTCTGAATTTTTAGCTTCTCATTTATCTAACTTGCATACATACATTTTAACAGTGATCTGAAGATCAGTCTTTCCACCAGTTTAATTACCAGTGCTGTGCAGAAGCTGCAAGTACTCATCTTAAATACACTTATATAGGATTAAGCATATATAGTATATACAGTATATGTAAGTGTATATATAAGTATATCCATCACTCATCCACCACTGTCGCTAAAGCAAGTCCTACTGAAACTTCCATCTACTTAAAATTAAGGCTTCAAAACACCTTTTTGAGAGCCCCTTTTCATTTCTACACAATGCATTATTATAGGCTTCAAACCACAAACAGTAGGAGACATTTTCAGACATACTGATCTGACTTGGCAGCTGTGCAATACCCAGGGGAACTTTCATGTTAGGGAGATCAAGGACACACTCACACTAGCAAAAAGCCATCAATACCAGTACAGAATTTATGCAGCTGCTGCTTTGAGCAAGTATTATTTTAAGTAGAAGCTGCAGTTACATCGTTATACCACTGGCCTTCTCAGAAGCTGCACTTCATTGTGCAGCTCCTACAGAACTTCTCCTGATTCTGTGAAGACCCACTTTTAACCTCTCAATTGTAAAAAACTGTCTTCCACAATAATTCCTCTGAACAAAAAATCCCAAATAAACCCACGTTGGAAATGAGAAGGACAACTTACACAAGCTTAGCTACTGCCAGGGCTCTCTCAGCATCTGCTGAACCCTGTTGGTAGAACAAGAAGATTTATAATTACAAAGTATCACAAATTACTAAAAAAAAATTAAGTGCTCACTTGCACATGTGTACAACTATCTTTGCTCTACCATTTAGTATAGACAGAGACTCACTCACAGCATACTGGACAGTTAAAATATTTAGCTAAAGCATGGACTAGACTCAGCCACTAAATGATAAAAGGTGATGCAAAAAAAAGGATTCTAAGAGGTCTGTCCATCTCCTTTACCTACAGCAATATCAAATGTTCTTAGCCCATCAGCACTAGATACGTATTTTCCATGTTCTTAAGAAGCTCCACTAATAACAATTCTATAGCCTCTAGCAACCGATTTCAGGGCTACCATTACCACTGAAAAAGGTCTTTTCAGTATCTAACACAGTCCACACTTCTCCTTCCCTCCAATCCCATCATTTCCTGTCCTAGACGAAGTGGTCTCTAAGAGCAAATTAATATCTTTCTCTCTCCAACAGCCTTTAATCCATTTGTGCAATGCTAGTACACACGTTAATCCTCTCTTATCTTTACTAAACAATGCTATTTCTTTCAGCCTTTCCAGTGAGAGTGTTTCAAAGGACAGTGCAAGATTTAAATGTGATCAAACATCAGCATAATTTATTTTTGGCATCTATGTTTGGAAAAAAATCAAAGATACCTATTACAAAAACAAGCTGCTGTCACAGAGTACAGAATTCATCTTAATCATCTCTTCTGAAAACAGCTGTAAGGAGAGCTTACAACGTAGCATCTCCTTGAATATGTAATAACAGATTAGAAATACTGCAACACACTTGGTGCGAAAGTTTACCTCCACCTGCAGCATCAAGAAATTGCCAGTCTGCAACACAGGGAAGTGCTTTAGACTTAGATCAACATGTTACTAGCACTGCCTTGTTTATCCGTGTTGTTAGCAGAGTACCTGCTTGGTTTCTTACCATCTGAAAGACAACACGTTTCCTCTCCCTTTCACAAGTTCTGAAAACAACTCTTTCATTAGGTGCAACAAAGTCCACCGTTTCAAGCACTTCTGTGTGAAATGAGAAATGATAAAACAGAGAAAATTATATACAAATGTAAACATAAAAGTCATAGGACTATGTAATTTGTATATAAATGAAATGCTACCAAAGAGATCTTCCATGAAGAGCAGAACTAATGGCACCCTGCCTTCTATATGTCCTTGCAGTATATTTTTTGCACATTGCTGTTTCTCTCCCAAAGTGCTCCCTAATCACCCCTCAGCCTTGGACATCAGCACCGGAATAAGTCCACTGATGACTCACCAAGATTGAACCTAATAGTACTATTTTTGGGAAGGGGCAGGAGGAGAGAGTAGACCTGCAGTGAATTTCTGTTCCCCAACAGGGACACTACAAACAACTGTTTCTATGCCACTCAGGCAGGGAGGTCTCAAGATATAATTTTAAGAATTTGCAGTGACAATCATGTTAAACCAAGTCTAGTCCACGCACCTCAAGTTAGTAAACAAATGATGAAGAGTGAAATCCTGTATATGTTGCTTCCTTATTGCATTAGACTTGAAGGTGTGTATATTATAATGTCACACGCAGCTAACATTTAAAAAGACTCTTTCTCTCTTGCCATCCGAACAAATTTGTTCCCTGGACATTATCAAACTTTTTAAAAAAATTAAAAGGCTTTGTATCTAATATTAATAGTTTTATTCAGGAAATTGGATTTTATTTTAGCACAGACACTTGTAAAATTTCTTAAAAAAAAAAAAAAACCAAACACCACAAAACAACAACAAAAACAACCCTAGAGGTTTTTACTGTTTATTTTCTATTATAATAGCATATGAAGGCAGTAGAGAGGTTGGAGTCAGTATGTAGATACAGAATTGAGGAAGATTAGGAAGCTTATCTGTTAATTACAATTGTAGTCTTTGTCTTTCCACATAAAATAGAAAGCTTTAACATTTTAAACATTGCACAACAACTTTAAAGTCCAGTTTATTCCAGCTACTAGTTTCTTTCACCTGCTGCCAGAAAGAACAATGCTGAAACATTAGTAATGGATTTCCAACATTAATCCCATTTTTCTTAAGAAAAAGAGAAATACACCATTCCAGGAGGTGAAATTACAGCTCTCCATTTTAGAAGGCAAATACTTGCACACCCAGTGACCTGACTCCTGTCAAAAAGTTCAAACAGAAAACTCATTGAATCCTTGTAATAAACTAAGCCAATGGTGGAGAGGACCCTGGGTTAGGACTCTTAAAATAACAAACTGTCTGTTACTAATCCATTAGCTATGGCTTCCAAAAATGTTTATGGTTTTCCTGAGGAACACTAACTGAACTACTGAAATTCCTTTAGAAGGGAAACTGAAAGTCTGAAGCTGTAGAGCAGCAGACAGGTCCAGGGTAGTACTTCAAAAGCTTACTTTAAGTCCCTAGACACAGTTTAGAGAGATTAGATGTTCTGGTACATCACTGTAATCACTAGAAGAATACTTCAGAGAAGTAATTATCTTTTCTCTTGATTAGAAAAAAAGACTGCTTACAGGTATTATTAAAAGAAATGCTATACTTGCCATTTATAACCCTCTTACACTGCAGCATCTTTATGTCAATCAGCTCCTGAGAAGGAAGGATAAAAAAATCTCAGTGAGTTGAAGTGTTTCAGCCAGCAAGCTCTAAAAAGTTGCCCATTTAATAATTAATTATCTAGAGAGACCAAATATAGAAAGAGAAAGCAAATTAAAACAAGAGTTTAATATACAACACGCTGAAGTTTCAAAATATAGACAGAACATAAGAACGTAAGAGTATTGAATTACAGAACAGTTTAGGCTGGAAGTACTTTAAGTTACAGATCCTACCAATAGGATCTGCAGCAAACTGGGATCTCAATTTCAGCCAGCTTTGAGAAAAGCGGTTAAGCAAGAAGGACTGCAGTGCCGTGAGGGGATATATATGGATGTACAAAACTAATCAGGTGAGACAGAAGATCAGTCTAAAACTTCTATCAAAGTTCTGACTCTGCTCCAAAAAAATATCAAAATAGAAAAAAAAACCCAACAAAACCCAAATAACAGTACAATGTGAGGAAATTCTTACGGTGTTTTGTCTAAATGAACTGAGAGTATTGAATAGGCTTAAAATATAGATTTGCCATAGCTTGAGAACTCTCAAAGAGAAATGCCTTAAAGCCATAAAGATTCTTCTTTCCCCAATTTTTTGAATCGACAAATATGTGCAAAAAGAACAAGCGCTACAATAAACAAAGTCTAGTTTTGCTTTTCTTAATAATAATGTTGAGCAGATAAGACTGACTCATCTGCTCATCCTCCATACCTCACAGTACACGATATCAGCACCATAGTCCAGGGCAAGAAGACGCATTGGCAGGGTTCCCACTCGTACCATTGGAGCCAGGATCTTCTTTCCTCTAAAACACAGGGGTGGGTTCACCGTCATTCCTGTGGCGGTACTACCTGAAAGAGAAAGCCAAGGACAGCCATGGAACGTCGATTTACTACCGGCAAAACGCCCAGATCTGTCCTTTGGCGGGAACGGGCCGGGGGTGCCCCGTCGTACCCGACAGGGCTCCCTTGGCAGCCAGGTCGGCCGCTCACCCAGCAGTCAGGGAGCCCAGCGGAACCAGGAGATGCTCCCCGCCACACGAGCTCTTTCCCCCGAGCGAGGGGCGCCGGGTCGTCTCCGCCAGAGCCCCCCAGGGCCGCGTTTGCTCCCGCGGGGGCAGCTCTCAGGCGACAGAGGGAAAAGGCGAACCGACCCCACCGCCTCCGCGGCACCGCCCGCCGCGCTCAACCTTCTCGCGTGGCTCCGCCGCGGCTCCGCTGGGCGGGGAGTACCGAGGGCAGCGGCTCTTCCACGGCGTCATCGGGCAGCGCCGCCACCCCACGTGGGGTAGTCGCGATGGCGCTGGGCCGGGGCGGGACGGCGGCAGCGCTCCCGCTGCTGCTGCCGCGGCGGCCCGCGGGCACCAGGGCGGCGGCGGCGGGCGCGGAGCCCCCCGAGGCCGTGGTGCGCATCCCCTGGGCCCTGCGGGTGCGCCTGCAGCGGGGGGCGCAGCGCCGGCGGCGCGGGCACGGGGAGGTAGCGACGGTAGCGCCTTCCGGAAGGCTGCTGCTGCGGAGCCGGCGGCCGGAGCTGAGCCAGCCGCGCTGGCAGACAGTGGGGCGCTGGGAGCAGCCGCCACTGGTGTCGGCGGGCTGGAAGCACAGGAAGGCGTGCGGGGATTACTTCCAGCTGGAGCCCTCACAGGAGGCGGCTCCCGCGCTGCAGGCGCCACCGGCCGAGGCGGGGCAGGGCCCGACATTCGCCGAGCTGGGGCTGCAGCCGGCGCTGCTGGCCGGGCTGGAGCGGCTCTCCATCGGCCGCCCCACGGCCGTGCAGCGCCTCGCCATCCCCGCGCTGCGCCGCGGCCGCAGCGCCCTGTGCGCCGCCGAGACCGGCAGCGGGAAGACCCTCGCGTACCTCCTGCCGCTGCTGGACGGACTGCTCGGCCGCCCTGAGGGGCCGGCGGCACCGGCAGAGCCGGCGGCGCCCCGCGGGCTGGTGGTGGTGCCGTCGCGGGAGCTGGCGGCTCAGGTGGGCGCGGTGGCGGCCGCGCTGTGCGCGCCCGCAGGCCTGGCGGTGCGCGGTCTCACGGGCGGAGGGGCGGCGGGAGGGCTGCGCAGGCAGCTGCGGGCGCCGCCGCCGGGCCCCGCCGTGCTCCTCGGCACCCCCGGGGCGCTGCGGGAGGCGCTGCGCCGGCGCTTCCTGGCCCTGGCGAGGCTGCGCTGGATGGTGCTGGACGAGGCGGACACGCTGATGGACGACTCGTTCACGGAGCTGCTGGAGGAGATCCTGGCACACGCGCCGCTGGCCGCCGGAGCCCCTGGGCCAGCCGGACCGGGGGAGGAGAGGACCCAAGTGGTGGTGGTCGGAGCCACCTTTCCCGCGGGGCTCAGGGAGACGCTGGCGAAGTTCATAGACGTTGGCCGGTTTGTCACTCTCACCACCCAGAGCCTGCACCGCCTGCCGCCTCACGTCCAGCAGAAGTTCATCCGCCTCAAAGGCCGGGACAAACTACGCGAGCTGCTGCAGCTGTTAAAGGAGCACCCATCATCTGGCGGGGCTGTTCTTATCTTCTGCAATAGTGCCAGCACTGTGAACTGGCTGGGCTATATCCTGGATGACCACAGAATCAAGCACCTGAGGCTTCAGGGACAGATGTCTGCGGCTGCTAGAGCTGGCATCTTTGCCTCTTTCCAGAAGGGTGTTGTGTCTGTTCTTGTCTGCACTGACCTTGCCTCGCGGGGTCTGGACACCAGCAGTGTGCAGCTTGTGGTCAACTATGACTTCCCAGACACTCTGCAGGACTATCTGCACCGTGTGGGGAGAGTTGGACGGGTTGGAAGCAAGGCACTTGGAGTTGTGGTTAGTTTTGTCACCCATCGGTGGGATGTGGACTTGGTACGGAAAATAGAGACTGCAGCCCGGAAAAGGACAGGCCTCCCGGGAATGGACTCCTCCATTAATAAACCTTCACCTAAAGGAGGTTGATTCAAGTTGCCAGGCACTACTAGGTGGCCTGGTAGGGACTCACCTTGAAGTCCTTAAGGCAGAGTGAATGAGCTGCTGTGTGTAAAGTAGACTGAAAAATTGAGAATTGAGTTTCAGAACCAGGTGTTCAGGTTACCTTTGTGCACTGTTCTGGAAGCTGCAGTAGTCATTTCCATACCCATCACAACTCGTGGCTTTGCAAAAGGAAGCTAGTGAGTACCAGAATGCTTTTGGAGAAGACTGAAGAATGACCTCATCAATTGATTTGATTTTGTTGAGACTTATAACTTAAATCCAAATCAGAATGAAAGTATGCCTGTATGATATGCAGCTCTGCTACATTTCATTGCTGCCCATCACTAGCAGCTTAAAAAAAACTTAAAAATTACTACTGTGGCAGGAAAAATATTGATATAACTTTGACCTGTTTGAGACACACGTAGGAAGACTAAAGGACAAATGATGTTTGATTTTCTTGTGACGTAACAGTTTGTTCAGAGAATTCTAGACCAGATACTTTTAAAGTTCAGTGGGAATGAGAAAGCACAGTAAAGCTTGAGGCTCTTTCAAGGCCTTAATTAGCCGTTTTATGGTTGCCTTTCACTGAGAAAGGGGATCTTGCTCTATTATGTTGTATTAAATAAAATTTTAAAAGCCTTTAAGTGTTTCCTCCTCATTTTTGCTGCATGCTATAGTGACATATCTGAAACAATCCCTCATCCTTGGCCATATTGATCACCACTATTGGTCTACCCTGGCCTCCAGTCGGGAGGCTTGGAGACACACCATCTGTAATGCTGCTGCTTCTTTTGAGAACACACGCAGGATCACTCTCGAGGAGAAAAGACAACGCAGAAAGAATCGCGTCTCGTCGATACCACCTGGGGAGTCTTTCTGCTGTGCCTTCTGCAACCGGACTGGTCTATCTCGCATTGGCCTTTTTAACCATCAGTGCGCTTGTAGCAAGCGTGGGTAGAGCCCTTCTCAAATCTTCGTTCGCGAAGCCTAGCCATAATAGTGACATGTCTAGTGTCTGAACTGACAGAAAAAAAATTTTCCAAACAAAAACCCCCTAACCCCAACAAACCAAAATGTCTTCTCTTAAAGGAGTGCGTAGATTCAAGTTCCAGTGACTCACAAGTAACAGAGTGAATGCAGGATTCCGTTTGAGTGTTGTGCCATTGTTCTATTTTGCTTTCAACCAAGAGGATTGAAGTGAGACTGAAGTTATTTCATATCTACTTGCTAGTTTGTATCCATGGTAAATAATCACACAAAATAGGATTTTAGCTCTGATTTCTGTTGCAGTGTTGTATCACAACCCTTTTTTTTTGTGACTGTTTTTCCCATGCTATCAACTTTAGCCTGTGCTAAGTCTCAGACTGTAGAAATAACAAACCTGGTAAATAAAAGGATCATCAAGCATAGTACCTAAATAATTGGTTTCTGAGGAAATAATGGACTGGAGATAGTATACTAAGAGTAAGAGCTAAACAAAAAGAAAACTTGCACAGGTAATCACCTAAGGATCAGGCTACAGGACCTTTTCCTATTGTACACAAGTACTCTGCTCATTTTGCACAGTTAAGGGGCTCTCAGAGGAAGTTACAAATCAGTAAAATTATTAATACAGTTGCGGTGGTTCTCCCCCAGCTGGCCTGGGGGATTTGGGAAGAGTTCAAGTTAGCAGGAACCTTTGTTCAGGGGAGAATTACGCCCAGACCCGGAAGTTGTAACAATATGTCTTTCCGGTAAAATGTGCTGAACACAGCAAAATGTGTTTCGTGACATGCGCAGTAAGCAGAGTTATATAACACCGTTAGTGGCCAATGGAAGAATATTTATGTATGTGGGAACCAGTGGAGAGTTGACATGTGTAGCCTAAAAAGTGTATAAAAGTAGCAGACATCGTGCAATAAAGTGTTCCAGCCTCTGGATCCACAAGGGTTTTGTGTCATGTCCCGCCTCGACCCACGACATACAGTAACTTCCAATTTTTAGAAATACAGTGAAGGAGTGGTCCATTTGGAGTCTGGAAACCTTTACGTTTTGGACCTATTCATTGCAAGCACTACTTGCCTCTCATCTGTAGTTCTATTAACTACAAATCAGGCAATTTTTGTGTCCACAAGCTGAAGCTTACTGTTCATGTATAGGAGTAGGATAAATCTCTGGGGACAATCTGGTATTATTTTTTACAGAAGATCCTATCTCCATTTGCAATATGCATTAGGTCCCCTGAGCTGCTGAAAAACTATTCAAGAAACATGTTACAAAAATTATTTGTATGTGTTCTGATGGCTGACAAAAAGATAATGGAGATGTTCTACTAGGTTATACTTGGATATTTCTGTTATGTTTTTAGATGCATAATTAGTCATTCAACTTCTGTAACACACCTTTTTGCAATCTGTGAACGGGTCAGTCTAGATTGCAGCACACAGAACTACCAAATTAGACAACACAATGAAATAATAAAGTTTTTTCAGCCATATGCTTCCTAATTTTGAAGTAATATGCACTTTATATATTTACAAACAGTAACCTTGACCTTGGTACAAATGCCCTAAATTGTTGCTAGTGCACTGTTGATCACAACAGTTTGTCGAAAAAAAAAAAAAAAAACAAAAACCAAAGCCAAAACCACCAAAAAAGACAAATCACAAATCTTTAGGCATATACATGCTAGAGTAAAAATCCATGGGTAGCTAGACTCAGACTACACTGTATTTACCAAAAAACCTTTTGTAAACATTACTTTCAAACAAAACCAGAGTTCTTTTAAGCATATATTGAGAAATGCCACTTTCCTACTGTTGCTCACCAAGAGACAGTTGCTGGAGCCAGTGATTAAATACCAGTAATTACACACAAGAGTACACAGACATTCAGACCCTGTGTTATATAAGCTTATACAGAGCCACTGAATGCAGAGAGCCACATCACTGACATGTCATGTGGAAGGTTTTACTGCCTAATAGGTAAATACTGTAGCAAAGCCTTCAAGGAGCTTTAGAGACCCTATCACAGCTAGTGAGCTAAATGTGTATGTAACTTTTCCCAAACTGCTCTCTGAATGTCGCATAACTCATTATTCACATCTTCATGATTGTCTACAGACATAACTGACTGCTCTCTTCTTGTCAGTACATCTTCTACCTTCTGCGTAACTCTTATTTTAGACTGTGGGTGTTACAACTGCATATGAGTTCTATCTCTGTCTCTAATACTCCTGTTGCACATGGCCTAGCAAGATACCCTAGGACAACCTCTGTCAAGTGTCATCACAGCCAGAGGGAAAAAATGCCTCCTACCACTCCAGTAATCTGACAAAGTCCACATTTTTGCAGATTCCACAGCTCCCTGGAATGCACTTGTATACATGTTCTCCCCATTTGGTTCCCTCTTCCCTCCTCTTCCTCCTGAAACATTTTGTGAGCCCGATTTACATATTAGTGGTGGAGTGTGTGGTAGAGAAGTTCTCCATGCGTATTCTGGCCAGCTTCTCAGCAGGAACTGGCTGCAGGAAGAACCTGCAGGTGAAGACTTGCTGGCAGACCTTGTGGAAATTTTCTGAGAGGAAAGCATAAATGATGGGGTTGATGCAAGAGTTCCCATAGGCCAAGCAGTGAGAGATAATGCGGAAGGTGAGGGAGATGTTGTTCAGAGAAAATTGCCCAAACTCTGCCCACATGGTGATGATATGATGTGGCAGCCAGGAGAGCAGGAACACAGCAATCATGAAAAGCACTGTCTGTGCTGTCTGGAAAAGACAAGATCATATATTAAATGGTCACAGTGATCAAGTGAGTCTGTGGACTGAGTGAGTTTGCTTCCCTCTCTCAGGAGGGAAGGCAGCATAACACAGGCAACAGGGATGATTACCAGGGGGGCAAAATGTGATAATATGAAAAGGATGGTAAAAACTAACCCTCCCTGGAAAACATTGATTGACTGGTTTTGGATCAAGCAAATAACTATAGGCAATGGAGATAGTGCCGGTAAAACTTCAAATAATACAAAGACTACAACACTAAAACTAACTACATTACATATAAGAGTGGAAACAATATTCCCTGATATTTGGAGGCTGAGGAACCTTAAGGCTATTGAAGATAACTGTGGGGGAAAACAAGTTGCAAGGAAACATTGCAAAAAAAAAAAGAGAGAGAGAAAGGAGGCAAATCAGGGTGATGTGTCAGGCTGGGTTACATCTTAATAGTTGTAATCCCTTTTGTGAACTGGTGGAATTTCATTCTGCTTTCCTTCCCTTTCCCTGCCTCAGGAAAGTATTGTATACCAGGAGAGAATATGGAAAAGGTTGGATCTGCTATTTGGCTGGGTAACATGAGTTTACACTTACAAGACACCAAGAGTCTGGGATTGTTCCCTCCATTTAAACACTATTCTCATCTCTCTCACCCACCTTCGCATAGCAGCAGGTGATGAGCACCAGAGGCAGCAGGTATCCCACCAGCAGGATAGTAACCTTGTACATCTGCTTGGTTGTTGAACCATTTGCCCAGTGCTCCCAGTAGAAAGAGTTGTTGGGTGCTTGCTGATGACCACTCGTGAGAGCCTGGTTTTGGGCCACAGGGATGGCAATGAGCCGAGACAGCAGCCAAATGACACCCACACCGAGGGCAGCGTTGCGCTTGCTGTGGATGCAGGGTGAACATTTGGAATGGACCACAGCGATGTACCTGTCCATGAACATAGCTACCAGAGTGAAGATGCTGCCCAGCACTGTTGCCATGGCCAAGTAGTGAACCCACTTGCAAAAAAAGGCACCGAAGACCCACTCTGGCAGGGAGTAGATGGTGGCCTGGAAGGGGACACAGAAGAGCAGAAAGGAGAAGTCTGCAATGCTTAAGTTCAGGATGAAGATGTTGGTGGCACTGTGTGATGGGCGTCCTCCAGGCTGAAGACGCCTCAGAACAACCAGCACTAACGTGTTTCCCACCATTCCCAGGAGAAAAATCAACCCAAAAAGCACTGGTACAATCACCACCTCTGGGCCGCCCCTGGTTGCTCCTGCCCAGCATGTTGGGGCCTCTGTTTGGTTGGTTTCGGAGCTGCACTTGGTGGTGTTGGCTCCAAGGGAAAGCACAAAACTGTCCTCCTGCTCTTCCATGGAGCCAGGCTGCTTGGCAGGCAAGGAGCAGTTGCTGCAGTCCTAACTGCTGTCAGATAGGTCTGTGTTTGTTAGGGGTAGTCAGACATGAGTTTTTGCCTTTTCCAGTGCTCTGTATCTTCCCTTTGGGGAGCAATTTTCTTCATATGATTCTTTCAAGTTCTTTCTGTCTCTGGTGCAGATTACTCCAGTAACTGGAAAGGGGTTTGAGGAATTTGTGTCATCCAAGAAGTAACTTCAGGTTTGGCAATTGTTGCTAGAGAAGCTCATGTGGCAAAGTCCATGCCAGAAGGGCAGAGGATAAGGCTGCCATGGGAGCCTGGAGTGGCAGCAAAGAGGCAGCAGCTTGGCTTCCTCACGTCCCTCCTCTTTTGCTTCCCTCCCACACTCCCCGGATCTGTGGCTGTTATACCTGCTTTCCCAGTTCTGTGTGGAGCTGTGGCAGAGAGAACAGATGCTGTCTGTAACTGGAAGCCTTCAGCAAATAACCTGACCGGCATTACTGCTCATGAGGGAGAAGAGCAGAGCAAAAGTTCTCATCCAAAGGGATGGATAAGCAGCAACTGCTGAGGAATAGTGTGTGCAGTTCGGACTTGGCTCCCTGCCAAATGCCCGAACCCCCAGTAGCAGCCCCCACCCCTTCCCCCTTCCTTCTTCCCCCAGGGCAAAGGAAAAAACTATGCAAATTGAAGAACCCAAAAATCAAGCTAGTTATATAAAAAATATGTATTTGATGTATATTACAGTTAAGATGCTATGTACACAGCAAAAAGGAATCCAAACACCCCCTGAAGGGATAGGGAAAGGGGAAAAGGAACAAAAGGAGACAAAAAAAGGGACACTGAATAGATATGCACAATCAAACCCAAGAACTAGTAAAATAACTAGTAAAACAAATCTCACCACGTCCCTTAGAAAAGCAGGATTGGCAGACGCAGCCAGCACTCTCCGAACCCCCACGTGGCAAGCCAGCCGTCGCTGCAGGCCTCAGCCTTAGATAAGCGAGACCAACGCAAGGACCCACTGTTCCCGAACCTCGCCAGAAGAGAAGAGAGCGAAGGCCTCTCCTCCCTTCTTATTTATACCCCGATTTACATAAAACTTGTATGGAATACTGGGAACACTGCCTCTTCCTTGGTTACAAACTGGTAACCAAGGAAGGCCTAGATTAAAACCACCACATCTGTGAGGAGCAGCATTGGAACTGGCTGCATGAGGAGGAAAAAGTTTAAAATATATTGTTTATCAACAGAGAAGAATTTTGTTTGTTTGTTTGTTTCGTAGACTCCAATGTGCTCCCATTAGAGCACAAAACAATCTAAATAGTTGTGTTTTCAACAAAAAATCCTGGGAGAGCTTCAGATTCATCATTGGCTCCTGTCACTTCTGGGATATCCACCCAAATTCCTTAGTGCCTATGAATCTTCATGAACCTTGTTGATCCAACTGCGAAGTCCTTTTGGTTTCAGCCCAGTAGTGCCAACAGCATCGGCACTGGAAAAGGAAATGTTCAGTCTTGGTAGCTCTGAGCAGCTATAATATTGTTTGCCAGGGAAGAAAGACATGGTTTTTAAAAAAAAAAAAAAAAAATTGTTAAAGATGAAGGCCTCAGTTATTGTGGGCTTTATGCGTACTTATAGAAAAAGTACGTATTTTTTAGGAGGTGCTAAGTAGCTTAGCTTTAATGGCTTGTTTCCTCATATTCCTTAAGGGATTCTGTGAACTCTGCAGGCAGTGATGAGGGAACAAAGTTTAGACAAACATTAACAGTACCTGCACACCATGATTTATGGACTTAGGATAGCTACCTGCAGAGAAGAGTACCCATCTCTGTTTTCAATGGTTACAAACCCAGGAACTTGCTTAGAGTGGGCCACCACTGGCTCATGTGAATGGAGGGAGCCCCTTAATTTTAGAAACAAAATTCAGTGACTGCCTTGTGACTTGTTTCTAAACTCTTGTTGGGAGAGGACGGTGCTGCCTTCCTTAGCCTGCTCTCTACAGAAGCTACACTCCTTATTTCCCCCATAGCTTTGGGGCTGGTTATGGGGTGAGGTGGAAAGTGGCCAGAGAATGAAAGATGTCCAAGTTGCAATGGAAAAATGTATCTCTCCTTGTCATAAGCAGGTCACCGTTGCTGGAGCAGATACCTGGTTAGCATCTGCAGTTTCTCTTCTTCTTCTATGGCCTGACTGCCTTGCAAGCTGTGGTAGTGTACCTTAGACATCATTAAGTCTTCCAGTTCCCAAATCCTTTGTTTGCTGGTGTCTGTCCCTGGGCTGTGCTGCAGTCTGAGCGCCACCTACTGGCCAAGGCACAGAACTGTAATTTGCAATGCTGCGTTCATGAACATTGGTCACTGTATATCACCGAAAGGTCTAGATTAGGTCTAGACTTACACTTTCACCAGTAGAGCTGTCAGCTGTGAGCACAGGGTAAAACATCTCCAAAACCAGTGTAGCTGCTATATTTTGGACATGAGCTCCAGTGAAAGAGGCAGAGGAATGAATAAGGACTCAAGCCTTGCTATAGGATTACCTGGATGTCATCTGCAGATCAAGCGATGATGATGACTTTTAGGCATCACCTCAAAACTCAAAGCCAAGCCTTTGAAACACAAATAAAAAATATCAACCCATTATTAGATAGCAAAAATGAAGCTGACTAAGTAGACTTGCTTAAGGTTTTCTCACTAATACCAAATGGATTGGCTTTTCTCAGAAATCCATGCTAAACAGGAAACATGGCATCCAGTAGAGCTTCCTGCCCTGCATGGCTGTGGATACCTAATGTCACAAGGGCAGCTACTATGTTAAATGGACTTACTCTTCCTGAAAAATTGAAGTGGGAAGTGGCAGAAACAGAGCTCTGAGAATTTTGATTTTAAACAGGAAAGAGTGCTTACATTGAAATCAATCCCAAGTGGGAAAGTACCCTTTTTCTGGTAACATTTCTGGAAGCCTTTTTAGGTTAAAATTCTCCAGCTGAGTAGGAAATAACTTCTGCTGTCCAGAAATCTTCTGTGACCTTTTCTATTGCTCTTTAAAAAAGATTTTTGTTTTTATTTTCTTGGGTGGAGGAACAACCTCCAAATAAGAAAACCAACCCATCTGAAGCAAGCTAGTTTTGCATCCTGGTTCTCAGAAAGAGTCTCTAGTCCTGCCAATTAGCAATCTGTCAGATTACAGATTAAATATTATTTTAATTGGGAAGCTCCTGCCACATTGTGGCAAGAACTTTTACCTTCCTTGAATCGGAGTTGATACCTGATTCCTTTGTAGAACAAACATATAGCTAAACAAACATTTTGTTTGGTTTGCCTCACTCTTTGGGCATTATCAATTGTAAATATTACTATTATTTTAAAATAAGTATAGTTTAAATTACTAGGTAAGCTTATTGCAGCTTTCTTTTTTTTTTTTTTTCCCCCTGCAGCTTCTTTCTCCATCTTTCTTTCCAAGAAAGTACAGAAATTAGTTCTGACAGAGTATTGAGCCAGAAGAACACACAACAACGTTGGTATTTTTATAAAAATTTGTTGACAAGAGATATTAATAGGTGGCAGAATAGTACTCATTTGTGTTCATCCTGAAAGGTATCTGCATTTATTATGGGCTATTTGCTTTCAGCTTTAGGAAACGTTCAACCTTAGCTTCCTTCTTAGGAGCTTTGGTTGAATCTTGATGTGCTTCATATGGAGCCTTTTTTCTGTGAAGAGAACCTTATCTTTGTACTTCCTGTTTCTTTTGCATTTGGTAATAGGTGCCAACTGGTGTGGTTCTGTACTTATATATCCTGAGAATATATGGCATCCCCTGAACAGTCTTCAGGATGGTGGTCAAATTAAGTTCTGAAACTGTGGCAGCTGCAGTCATCCACAAGGCAGAGCAACATGGGAAAAAGAGGTTTTTTGCTGAGTTGGTTCTTAACCTCTTGATTTCCCAATCTTAGATTAATATTTATCACAAGATCTTATCTGAGAAATATGTTGCAAACATGCTGATTTAAACAGATTAAAACTACCAAAGAACCTCCCATCACCACCCACTCCAAGTGTGAACTCACTTCATTTTAGGATCTGAAACTAATACTGAGTAGAAGAAACAGATGCAATAGTTAAGACTGCCTGTATTGTGATTTTTATGAAAACAGAAATCCTGGTACATGGGATTCCTCTGATTCCTCTTCCTAACCTATTGTAACAGTTTCTAATTGAAACACTGATAGCTGTACCCGAGAAATGCCAAACTGAGAGCCTTGGAGATTGCAATCTTTACAAAGAAGTAAAACACCAAGTTTGAATACTTAATAAGCAAAACTTTGAAGACTGTGTTAATGTGGCTTGTCCCTAAGCAATTACACTGCATGTGATTTTAAAGCTGATTTGCACACAAACCTATATCCATACCAAATGCTGGAGTGCTATTATGTAGTGTAGATGAAGTCAGGAGTTGGTAGAATGTAAGGATTTTTTTGGGAAACCAAATTGCAGTTTAAAATTACTGCCACAGTAGGCATCTACTTTTGCGAAGTCCTACTTTCCCAGCTGTAGTAATCTATAAATTAATCTGTACTGGTTGTAAAAACACCAGTGGTTTGGAAGTATAAGTATTGAAATTGATAAAGCTGCTCTGGGCTCGAACAAGCCTATCTAATGAGAAAAATACTTCCAAAACATAATGTTATCCCTCTGTGTCCTGACAGCAGCTGGTATCTGTGTAAGTGTTGCAGTTATTTTATAGCTTCTCAGCTTGCTCCAAAATTGTGGATATAACATGATATAAATAGTGATAGCTATTATCAGGGAGAGACAGCTGTGTAACAGCATTCTGGACAATGAATATAGATCTTGGAATGCTTATTAAGAGACCAAACCTGCCAGATGGACTCTGCAGGAAGGATGTTCATCACAAATGCCACATTATAAGAATTATTATACACAAACACCTGCTAATGCTCATCCAGGCCTATTGGAAGAAAATTATAGAAGAAATCTTCCTATGAGCCAAAAGGAGAATTTGGCTTTTAGCAGCTTTAAAAATCAGTTAAGTTCTGAATCTGCAAAGAGGTGAGCTGTTAAAAGCCCAAGGAGCTCAGTGGCTCAGCAAAAACTGTTCTTGAACAAGGAGTTGGTGAGCTTAGTTTTTCTAGAGGCATGCAGAAACATAGAGTTTCAGGTA